TGCCTTCGCCGGTCTGTAGACTGGAAGAGTCGAGAAGAGTTGAAGCCAATGATTTGGAGCGATTTGGAGCTGAAGAGTCGAGGAGGGTAAGCCTTAACGGTAAATTTTTTATTAAAATAAAATAAAATAAATACAGCTCCTCCTATCCGTTGCGAACACTCCCAAACGGCTCTATTGCCATTGGAGGGCTGGGAGGGGGTCCAGGGGGGTTTGGGGTGGGGTGGGGTATAAAAAAACTATAAATACTCCTATTTTCTAAACAATTTTCTACACATCTTCTCCAACTCTTCCTACTCTCTAATATTATTAATCATATCCATCTTCATGTTCTTCAATTCTCTCTACATATATTTATACAATTATTATATCTACTTATAAATACATATATTATATTACTAAAATTTAATTATCTAATTAATATATACTTATTATCTACTTAATATATACTTCATATTTATTTAATATCTACTTATTATCTACTTATTATACTATTGTTATTTACTTACATTTACATATTACATCTACTTAATATATACTTATATATATTAAATTATTAAATATAACTAAATAAGTGTATTACTCATCTTATAGTAATATACTTATATATTATATACTATAAACATTATATTATATATTAGTTAAACAATTATTGTATCTGCTTATATACTTATTATCTACTTATAAATACATATATTAAGTATTCACACACACACACATATATATATATAGGGTGCGGTTCAAATGAGAACGATGTTTAACGTGAGAACGTGAGAACACTCACATTTAACCCAATGTGATACACAATTGAGTCCGTCTGATGCACATTTTGACTTTGCTCCAAACAAGCCAATATAAATAATAACGGTGGCATTTTGGTAAATAGTCTAAATATTATGCTAAATGTGAAAAGTGCATTAGGTTAGCCTCAGTGTGCATCACAGCGGGATAAATGTGGTGTTCTCACGTTTTCACGTTAAGCCTTGTTCTCATTCGATCTTTAATCTCTCTCTCTCTCTCTCTCTCTCTCTCTCTCTCTATATATATATATATATATATATATATATATATATATATATATATATATATATATATATATATTAAAGTATTAAATATAAGTGTACTACTCATCTTACAGTAGTATACTTATATATTATATACTATAAACAATATATTATATATTAGTTACACTTTAATTAATAGTAATTAAATTCATCCTATATATATTACTTATACACTCACACTCCCATTAATTTAGTTTACACATTCATACATTTTTTATTAATAGTTCATTATTTAATTGGTACATTTCTCATTTTCCTATTAGTTCATTGGTATATTTGTCATTAAAGTATAAAAGTTGTTAATTGTTACATTTATCATTTTAGTATTAGTTCATTGCTATATTTGTCATTAAAGTATAAAAGTACTTAATTGTTAGTTGTTACATTTCTCATTTTCCAATTAATTAAAGTCACACTTGTTAGACAACAATTAGTTAACTAGTTAGATACTTTTACTTCGAATTTATTCATTTAAAAAAAAGTAGTTGAATTTTATTTAAAAAATAGTTCGATTTTTTTCATTATACTAGTTAGATTTAAAAAATAGTTCGAATTTTACTTTCAATTACTTCGAATTTTATTTTAAAAAAATAGTTAATTTTTTTTCATTAACATTTAATTAACAAAAATTAGTTATTCAAAAACTATTTCGAATTAAGAAAAATAGTTAGTTTTTTTCATTAAAAAAACTAGTTAGATTTAAAAAATAATATTTAATAAAATAGGTTTAAATAAAAAAATAAAATTTAGAACATTTCTTATTAGTTGCATTACTATTGTACTCATATTAACATAATTGTTAGAATTTAATGTTTGTTACATTTTTAAGTTGCAACGTGGTAGAGCTTCTGTAGATATGGATAACCTCAACCGGAATCGAACCAAGGAGATTGCGAGGAATCATCCTAGTTCACACAAAGGTGAAGGTAAAGGACGGGCCGAGTATTCTTCTCAAACCCGAGATGATTTTGAAACGGACTACCATCGGAGAGATGCGGATGCAATGTCTGACGAGCAACCACAACAACTATTGGCCCAACAAGATGAGCGATTTTACCAACAACATGACATTCCCGAGGTTAAAGATGAGCTTGACGAAGACGATGCGGAGGAGGATCCGCCGACAGTCGAGGGTGAGGGTCACGGCACCCCGAACGATGAGGAAGAGGTCGAGACCGAGGACGAGGCTGGTTCATCCCAACCCGGTAAGAAAGGTATATCACCAATTATTGAGGGCAATTTTAAAAAGGTGAAAGACAAGAAAACCGGAAAATGGTACTCACATTGCAACCATTGCCCTAAAGTGTATAGCTTGGGAATTTCTAGAGGATACGGCAGTTTGAAAAGGCATCTTCATTCCAAACACCCCATGTTGTATGCGAAAATAGACCAAAGCAAGGGGAGCAAACTCAAATAACGAGGTTTGGAACTAGCCAGCTCCTTGGTAATTTCTCCTATGATGATCAAAGACATTTGACTGGTATGTCTCACTTAATTGTTGAAGAAATATTGCCTTTTATTTTTTCTGAAAGTCTTGCTTTAAAAAAATATGCTCAAGGTACTTAAAATCCTCAATTTCGAAACTATAATCGCAAAACGATTAAAAAGAAGTTATAAGCCAATATGTTTTGGAAAGGGAAAAATTACAAATATTTTCCGCAAATTTTGATGGGCGTGTTAGTATTTGTAGTGATATATGGGAAGATACTCATCATCATTTATATTATTTGGGTGTGACTGCACATTATATTGATGATGATTGGAAAATGCATAAACGTGTTCTTGTTTTTCATGAATTTAATGATCGACACACTGCTGATAATATTTATATTCTGCTTGAGTGTATTTTAATTAAGTACAATTTGATTGATAAGGTGTTTGCTATTGGTTTTGATAATGCTAGTAAAAATACTGCTGCTATACCTAGATTGTGTGAATTGTGTGGTTTTTCTACTTTGATGGGTAGGGTTTTTCATTAGCGTTGTGCATGTCATATTTTAAATTTATGTGTAAAAGACGGGCTAGCCACGTTGGGAGATGTTGTGGAGGTAGTGAAGGGGGGATTAGACTTATATGGGCTAGTAATTCATTAAAAATGCAATGACGTCAATATTTGAGGGATAGACATGTCAAATATTGTGTTTTTCCAAAAGATTTATCTATTCGTTGGAATAGTACTTATAACTTAATTGATGTACTTATCAGATTTAAAGACCATTTTCTTGCTTTTTTAAAAGAATATGCTAACTATATTATAAACCTGACCGGCATGGACACTATGGAAAAAATTGTGAATGTTTTGATGTTTTTTAATAATGCAACTCAAACTTTTAGTCATGTTTATACACCTACCGCAAACCAATTTTTTGTTGAAGTTGTTAATCTCGCTGGCACTTTTTGTGACTTTTCCGATGTCCCTTACGTTAGTTATTTTTGTTCTTACATGAAAGAGAAGTTTTTAAAATATTATTAACATATTCCGCATATATATGGTATTGCATTTATTTTTGATCCTTGTCGTAGACATGATGCTTTGGGGCATTGTTTATATTATTGGTATGCATCTTTTTTTAGTCCAATTCCTATGTACGAGGATAAGCCCATAGACCCTAAACAAGAATTGCAAGAGGTTAGTAATTTATTATATCAATTATTTAATGAGTTTCATGCACAATATGGTCATGCACCCCCTCCCCTGACACGAACATCTTCTTCATCTAAAGGAAAATCACTTTTGAAATCTGCATTTGACAATCTTATGAAAAAGAGTAAATCAACTCTCGTTAATGAACAAAGCTCAATTAACGAGTTTTCTTTGTGATGGAGTTTAATCCAACTACGAGAGCTAAATCTACTAGAGATATCAAAATATGACAGCGTAAGGCATTATTATTATTATTATTTGGAAGCACGATTTACCCCTCCCTCCCACAGGGTATTTACAAGAAGTATTTTTAGACTTTGGGAGTTAGTATTCTAGGAGGAAACTACTACATTAAATGCTATTAATTATACGTTAGTTCAAATAGAACTCCTGAAGCGTCTTTGCCATTATGCAATGATTATTTCCTCCAAGTCTACGTTTCCTGTTGAGTCCTGTCTGCTGCCAAATAGCTATGCTAAAATGATAGCCCACCACATAAACCCTAGAAATATCCCAACCTCACTAAAACTCCACCCAGACTCGAGATCTGCTGTCCAGCCTGGTCTGGCTGTGGGTTTCTATCGTGGGCCTGATCCCTAATTGGGCCTAGCGGCTTATTCAATATGAATCCCGTTCAGAGCTTGATGCAGTTTATGGGCTAATCCTGTTAATTAGGCTAATCCCGTTAAGGGCTGATCCCGTTATGGATTGGACTACGTAATTGGGCCATGGTCAGAATCCATGGTACCATCACTTTGTATCAAACATTTCCTTTTGATTATGGCCGCAAGCCTTGAGACCATTTTAGGTTAAACAATCTTAATTTCAAATGTCATACTCCCTCCGTCCCTTAAAACTTTGTCATCTTTTCTTTTTGGGATGTCCCAAAAAAACTTTTTCACTTTCCTTTTTAATCAATTATTTTGTGGTTTCTGTTATTTCCCTCTCCTCTCACAAATCTAAATCACACAGTTTTTACTTTATTATTCTCCGTACCGGTCAACTTTGGCAAAGTTTTAAGGGACGGAGGTAGTATTTTTTAGTTTGTAATGTTTTTACTTGTACTGTTTTTATTCTCAGACCGGATCAGATCAAATCAGACAAGACCAGTTCAGATCGGACCAGGCTTGGATAGTTATAAGATAAACAAAGACCAAACATTTATCGGATCAAACCAAATCAGTTCATACCAGACCGGACCAAATTTAGATAATTATAAGATACACAGAAACGAGACATTTATCATATCAGACCAGACTAATTCAAGTAAGACAAACAAATTTTGGTCCAAATAAAAACATCCTAAAACTGAAAGTTCTCGTAATATGAGTGGTTTGTTATTTTTCCATAAATAGGAAATACATCAGCGCTATCAGGAAATTATTATATTGTCAAATATTCATGTTATCAGATATTGATATAATTAGTGTCACAATTAATAATTCTTTCTAAACATTACACTAAATAATCTATACTATCGTATTTTAGAATTCCACTTCAATTTTACATCATTTCTTTTGGCTGGGGTGAACAATCGTACACGTGGAATTTTCTTTAATTAGTTTTATTTAAAAATACAATACAAATATTTTATTCTAATAAACCCATCCAATACCCGATTTCCAACACCAGATCGATTGGCTGTTGCGTTTGTTTTTCCACTTCAATGTACAGAACACAGAGACGGTGACGCTCTAAGCCTTGAAAACGAGGATAATGATAATTCCGCCGAACATTAATTATTACTCCGATAATTAATTTGGATAAGGGTTGTGTCTGACTCTCTTCCGTTCATTAATTAATTAATCTCAGTCGTTAATCAGACGGAAGTTTGTGCAGGTTTAGGAACAGCCTTACCGGCATCTTGATTCAGGGGAACCGCCGGCCTGATCTCAGGGTTAATCGTCGCCGCGGCCACCGCAGCAGCTTGATAATGCGTTTGGGGTGCTGATTGCGGAACCAGACCTCCCGGGGCGTAGTACACCGGTCTACCTACCCCACCGTCGTACGCCACTTGTGCGTAGCCCCCCTCAGGAGTCATCCCGATTCCAACCGGACCTGCGTTTGGCGGCGGCCTCACCATCCCATATCCGTCGGAGTAAGCCGCCACCTTCTGTCCCGCTTGAGCAGGCAGAGCTGGTTGCCCCGATGCCACCGTCGGAGCTACGTTGTGCATAACATTGTAAACCGTTGGATCTCGGTACGCCTCCGGTGGCATCCTCTGGACGGCGTAGTACCCTTGGCCGGCCGGTCCAGGCATTTGCCTCACCATTTGCGGGTGAAAAGGACTCCCCGTCGCTGGAATCATGTAGTACGGCTGTTCCATTCCGGCGCTATTTGCAGGCAGCACTCCACCGTGTATTTGCTTCTCCGTCCAATATCCTACCTGTGGATTCATCGCCGGCGGCACGTTCATTTGAGACATTTTTTCCGGGACCTTCGTGGGTAAATAGTAGTCTACGCCGGCATATGGCGGGGAGAAACTATCATCAACTCTCTGTCGATACAACTGCTGCTGCTGCTGCTCTTCGAGTTGCAACCTCTGCAGATCCTGGATATGTTTCTGGATCGGATCCGAACCCATCATCACCCTCTCATCCAAACCCTGCGGGACCCTGACCTCCGGCTCCTTAACCTTCAATTGAGGCGGCGCGGGAACCCCTTTCTCAGATCCAAACAGAAAATCAGCGTTTCCGGCCTGCAACACAACCGCAGCCGGGGCTTGATTCGTCTGAACCGGCCCCGAATTCAAAGCATCGACAAACCTCTCCTTGACAGATTTCGCATCATCAGAGCCAAAACTCTGAGTCGGCGTCATCGCGGGAGGATTCGACGGGAAGATGAACAGACGGAGCCTCGCCGGCTTCGGAGAAGCCTTATAGAGGCGATCGTACTCATGCATCATGTGCTCGAGATCGTCGTCGGTGGTGACCGAAATCAGAGCGTCGAGATCCTCTCCGGGAAGCTGGTACTTGAAGGAGACAGTATCGAAGTCGCAGAGAGACGCGAGCTTGGAGACGAAGTGGGGAAACTTGACGCCGCGTTCGACGGAGAGGATTTTGGTCTCGCCGCCGACGTAAGTGAGCTGGTTGTCGTGGGGCCGGGGCTGGATTTTGCCGCCATAGCTGCACATGAACTTGACCTTGAAATTGGGAGGGAGAGGCTGATTGGGATCGTCCCAAGGAGTATTTTCGAACTCGATTTCACGGGACCTCGGGGAGGAGTCGCCGGACTCCGGGTAGGAAGGATAGGAGTAGTTCTCCATGGCCGGGAAGATATGGGCTTTCGGCCTTGTTGTGTGTTTGGACTGACTTTTATGGTTTGTTGAGTAGAAAATGGGACTCTCTTTCTTTCTATTTACACTCTCATCGCACGCGTTTGTTTTGTTTGTTTTTGGGTTAGAAAGTTGGAATTTATAAGGTGTCAATTTAATGGGGATTTGACGCTATCCTCACCGTTAGGCAACCAAAATGTTTCGCGGAAATTGACCACTCCTCGGTGCTCTGTTTGGACTCTCGGGACATTTTTTTTAATTTTGGTCCGTGTGAAAATCTGTTTTCTTCGTAAATCGTCATTTAATATGTCTGTGTAGTCGATCAAATTAGCTGTATACAGACAATTTGCAGACGTGTAATCCGGCGTGTAAAAATTGGCGTGTTCAAAAGGAATTTTCCCGGAAATAATGAGGGGAAAAAGATATTTATCCTCTCCATAACTACTTCAGTTAGAACTTCACTCAATTTTTACTAATTTATGATTAAAATCTAATTTACATCTTCACAGTCACATGTCATGCTGGTGCGGGGGCTTCGGGGATGGAGTGTCTTTTTTTTTTTGAAAAGAAAACAAAATAAAATAGTAATTGTGCAATACAAATAAATGTTTTCTATAAATATTTAGGTTCTTTAATAAATCGTACATACATATTTGCCTTTCATTGTTTATATTCATTGTTTTAGATCTCGTTTGGTGACTCGGTTTATTAACCTTATCGCCAAGCTTTTTAATCAAACACGTAACTTTTGATTATTCGCGTTGAATTGTGTACTAATAAAAAAAAAAAGGTTGGAGTTACTTTTCTAGATGTATTGGCTGTAGTTATTATAGATGATCATTTTAACTATAATTTTTTCTTTATTTTATTAATAAAATTTATTTTAAATATAATTTATTCATAAATCAGCAGAATCAGTCAATACAGCCACTTCAATCAGAACTTCATAAATTATAGCAGAATCAGCCGATTCAGACGATTTCAATGTTATCAAACAAGCTCTTAGTTTATCTTTTTTCTCAGATATTTAAATTGTGGAAACTGAGTAATAATTCAAATTCAACAAATTCTATTTGGCATTTGATTGCATCTATTTGATGTCTTTGTTTTTCTTATCCAAACAATATGCAAGCTTAACATATATAGAAAACATTTTTACTATGTCTCGTTTTATTTTTTTATCAAGGGATGGATGATTCACATATGAGTAAAACATACTCCGTATTAAAATTTGTAGAAAAACTATATAAAACACTACACCAACTGTCTTTTTTTGTATTTTCTTTTTACCCGAGGGAGGTCGGGGGAAGGGGCTGGAGGTCGGGAGTAGGGATGGACTGGGACGGGTCGGCCCAGCCCGCCGGGACTGGGGGTCGAACCGGGTAAAGAGGGGCCGGTTACGGGACTTGAAGAAGGCTGCCCGGCTCAGCCTGTCCGGGACCGTCCCGACCCAATTTTTTGTTTTTGTTTTTCCCATTCATTGGCTGTTAGGTGGGTGGGGCTGGGTGGTTTGGGAGGTGAGCATGGGGCGGGGCGGGGTGGGAGGGTAGGAATATATTCGAAAAGCATTTTTTAAAAACAAATCGACCGACCCGACTCGGCCTGGCCCGGTAGGGGTGAGTAAATAACCGACAAAACCGATAAAACTGAAAACCGATACCCGGACCGACCGAAAAAGTCAATTATCGGTCGGTCATCGGTTATTACATATTAAAAGAAGTCGGTTATTCGGTTAACGGTCGGTATTTTAATCGGTTGTTGGTCGGATAACCGAAAACCGAAGTATAGTCTACTTCGTATAAACGTTTGTATGTACTTCATGTATGCTATGATGTTTCACTTAATAACATGTCATAATTACTCTAAGAAATAATGTCAAATATATGACCAAAATGAATATTATGGATACAAATATGTCATTTCATACTTTAATAGTTTAATGACTATAATTGTAATTTTAATGTGCATGATTGTGATCAATTTTATATTATAGTAATCATGAATGGTATACTCATGTTAACTTTAGTCACATTTTAGTTTAGTATGTAGTAATATTTAAGGAAAACCCTCATATTTTAATAAATCTCATGTAATTAGGATTTAGTGGTTGACCCAAAAGAGATAAATTGAAACTAGCACAAGAGAAACTACCAATAGCGTTGATGGAGTATATGGCCCAGGAACCCCCGACCCATAGACTCCTACTATTCTAATGGAGGCCCAATAGGCCCAGGAAGCACAGCAGGCCCAAATCACGGCGCCCCAAGTACTAAGCAAAGTTACTTGGAGAAAACGGCGAAAATCAGTAGCCCTCGGCACCTAGAGCCCTCGACACTAAGGAGGTCCCCGGTACACAGAGCCCTCGGCTAATCATCTGTAGCCGAGGGCACCTTTTCCGACATAATATCCGCTCCACATGCGCATGGATCACCGTACCAAGTACGACGTCACATCCAACATCCGCATTAAATGCGGCCACATGCGATTACCAGCGCCAACCAGTTGAGGTGACCCCTCGGCCAATGGATGCTTGACACGTGTCCCTGTCTGGCATTTATTGCTACTATAAATAGCACCCCATTTCCCCGTTGTAAACCACGCTCAAAAGCCTTAACTTACATATTCAATACACTCTCTTTCTACTTACTTGCTCTGACTTCTCTCTAGTTATTCCCCGTAATAACCCTTCGGATAAGCTACCCACCGGATATACTATCCATCAAGCGTAAGAAAACTAATTTTATTATGAGATAATTTAATTCATTTCTTCTTATTTATTTCATGAATGGAGAAAAAGCATTTTATATGATCAATTATTTCATTCATTTTGTTTTGAAGTGTAAAAAAACATTTATTTTCATCCATTTTGTATCAAATATTTTTTCTAATATGTTTATGTAAAGCATTCAAATTTTTGAAAAAAAAAACTACCTCCGTCCCAAAATACTAAACCAAATTCAAAACTTTGACCAATCATATACTATCCTCCATTCTTTAATTCTTACAACAGTTTGACTTTCACGTTTGCCAATACACAACTTTGACTGTAATTATATTTAATTATGTATTAGTAAACATTATAAAAGTTTGATATTTTGGAAATTCACATTGATAGGAATTTAATACATTTTATACGTAATAGTTTGATTATGTATATTAGTAGAAAATCATGGTCAAAGTAAGGTCTGTGAATAGTGCAAAAATCACAATGTTGCAAGAATTAAAGAACGGAGGAAGTATATTCATTGAAAATTATTTATAATATAAAAATGACATGAAAATGTTCTTTGTTTAAAATACTTTCATAAAAGTATAGAATTTATAATTTGTATAATTTTATACTAATCAAAATCATGATCCAAATTTTGAAATTTGGCTAAGTATTTTGGGACGGGGGTAGTATGTTTTAAAAATTTATATTGTCGGTTATTTGGTTACCGACCGAAACCGAACTACGGTTTTTTGGTCGGTTATTGTGATGTTATCGGTCGGTTTCGGCCGGTTATTAGAGTGAAAAAATTTGATCGGTTATTCGGTTATCGGTCGGTTATTTGACCGACCGACCGAATTCCCACCCCTATGGCCCGGTCCCAGAATAAACCCGGGCCAGTACCGAGCCTGCAACCCAAAACCCCAGTCCTACCCAATCCCGTCCCGGAGCTCGGTCCACCTCTAGTCGGGAGTAAACCGAGATCAAAGCCACTTCATTGAGTATTGAAGTTGGGACTTCCCATGAGAGAGAGTGAGTAGACGATCAATTGAGTTGGGATGCTCCTACACCATTTGTCTCTATACATATACTCTTACATTTTATTTTCTAAGTATAGGATGTTGATATGAATTAACATTTTGAAAAACACTTCCTCCCTTACTATGACCCGTCCCTCTCCGTCTCCATCCTTTAACATCTCCATATTTGGCGTGCAAGCCTGTTTCAAAATGTTTGCACAGTCACCTGCAATTCTACTTTGTTTAGGTGTCTTAATCTCATTGAAAAAAACGAGGATAAACCTCATCTTTTGAGACACTAATATTTTTGTTCTTTATTATGTATAATGTCGAGACAAATGTGTTTGTTTCGTTATTTCCTTATGGAGTAATTATGTGCATACGTTTGGGATTTAGTTTTGTTTGTATGATATTCAATTTCATTTCCTTTAAACACATTGGGCAATGATTACCAAATTAAAATCAAACATATGTTTAGTTTAGCACTTTAGCTCCATTTAGTCTAATTAGAATCAGTTTGATTTGTTTATTAATATAATAAGACCATGTATATATTATATTTCTATTGTTCGGTGAAATTTTAATGAATTTATTAATTGGGAAAAATATTACCAACCCAAATTGATTTACATAAAGTTCTGTTTCCATTCGATTTAATCAATTTTCCTCAGAGTAAACACACATCCCTGAATATAACGTGACAAATGATGACGGCCGGACATAGCCTCCTATAAATTAAAGGGTTTATTTGCATTTTTTATGAAAGTTCGAGCGCTTATTTGATAGTTATTGTTGAATCTTAATTATTCATTTATAGTGTCCTGTGTGCTGTATGACCTATATCTTTCATGTTTCTTCATATGACATTCTATTTATTTAGAATGTTTTGAATGTAAAATTGTAAGGCAAATTAATATTGTCAAGACGTCACATTTGTAAAAAAAACTTTCATTTATTAATTAAAGTTAATTTTAAAAAAAAATAGTAAAGATTAATTATGTTATGACTAAGTGATTAATTAATGCTTTGGTACGTGTCTCTCTTAAACAAATGAGATGCTCTGTATTTGGCATTGCATATTTGCATTCAAATGTCCATTGACTATTATATAGTTGTAGTGTAGACCGTAATTATTACGGAGTATTATATTTTTATTTAGTTGTTGAATGTCACGTTTAGCAACCACCGCTATGGTATTAATTAATATAATTAATTGACTATTATTAAAAATTATAAAATTACCATATTTTGAAATATTACTTTAAGAAAAAATTGACGATTTTTAACAAAATGTAATCAATATAGAATAGCGTAAAATGTTGTACGCACTAATAATGGATAAGTATAAAATTTAGAACTTTTCGCTAAAATAATTGAAAAAT